GTTTCTTAAATTTAGAGTGATTAAATAAATTGTTCGTTGTAGTCAATCTCCAAATATCTATACTTTAGCATTAGTTAATATAGCCTCTTGTAAGCAAATTTATGAACATACGAGTACAGTTTTAGTGTTTTGTTATAGTACAGTGTCCCTATGGTATATGTTTGGATACTTGAACAATGAACTATCTATAATACTTATATGATTTTATTTATTAAGATAGTTTCTTTCCATAGTGAACAATAACCCTTGAAGCGGAGGCATAAACACTTCGGAAGATATATAAAATGTTTTGATTTGTTTTTAAATTGAGTGACTTTGTTTTCCCTGCTTATAGTTAATATCTATTTGTTTTCTTTCAGATTCGGCTTCCCTAAAAACTGTCCTATCAAATTTAGAAAAATATTATATATATTTTTTTCAAATATTTCTTACAAAACAATTGATATATTTCATACTTTTTTGTTGAAGATGGAAATGCGTGTTAAGTAGAAAAACTAAGTAACCTGCCATTTACAGTTATGAATCTGCAAGCATAATTAAGCATTAAGATTTATTGAATAAGAGACAATACAAACGTTGAGACTTTTGCTAATTTTTTTTGCTAATATTTTTATTCATTGTTAAATTGCAACTAACAACAAATTCGTTTGATTTGTATTGTGTAAGATGGTTCAAAAGGATAATTACATGTATTTAAGAGTTATCCCAAATCATATTGGCTTAAAATTCTTTCTTTATATGGTACAACCTTTATTTGATACCCAGAGAGAATTAAAACTGAAAACATAAACAGAAAATTGGTGTAGGTTTGTTTTTATTTTAATTAATAGTAAGTAACAAAAATACTTTTAGTTTTTCTTTCCAAAACATTTACAGCAAAGGCAAGAAAACGTGTATCATATATAAATATGCCTGTCACTTTATTTCAGCAATGTCTGTTTCCTGAAGATATCGGTTAATTAGAAATTAATAAAAATGGCATCCATATAAAAAGTAAAAGTAACACTTTTATCTTAATGATATTAAACTTAATTCATGTAAGAAAAATATCATCAACCACGTTATAAAAGTAACACAAATCTTCTATTATAAACCCACAGTATTTAGTTGTTATTTGTGTAAACAAATATTCCAGCTTATACACCGGATACTTCTTGTTTTCGAGTTTTTAAGGTAGGAGCTAGTTATTGACAGTGCTCATCAATCAGACAGTTTGAGCTTCAGTGTGTTCTTGCTCGCATACTGGTGAAGATGACACCCTTTTCTATTGTATTAGGATGTAATGTATTTGTGTAATATAATTTACTGTCATTTTTAGGAAGGCTATTGTCGAGTTTCCAGGAAAATCGCTGGACAGTCATCTCCACGGTTCTATTCTTCTGCGTGGCGTATCACGAAAGCGGATAAAGCCACAATGTGCTCATGCAATTTTTTAACATGTGACTAATTTTAACCGTATTCACTGTGTTTAAAACTGAAGATAATGTAGCAACTACACAAGCCACGTGATAGGAACATCCTGGATATCTTTCGAATTTATTTCGTGGGCACCGAATTTCCAAGAAAATGGCAAAAGTTGGTAGCTCAACTTTACACGCTACAGTCTTTGTGAACTCAGGTGTAAAAAGCATACATTAGTTGTTTTTTTTTTACTTTTTATATGTATACATGTGTAGTTTCACACAATAAGCTAAAATGATTAACTTCTCAATTGCTTTTTCTTCTTGGTATTACTAGATAGGTCACACAGATTCTTCTCGTCTTTAGGACATATACTTCCTTTTGTTACTCATCTACAAAGACAACCCTAATTTTATGTGACTATTTTTCGACACACAAAATTTTTTTGAAAATGTTTCTTTTCATTTGTATTCGTTAGTGTTAATTTTGCTAATATGTTTGAGCATACAAGTAAAACTTCCAGAATCTGTTAAGGTAACACTGTTACATTTGCCAAACTCAGAAGGATGAATATGTTATTATTACTTTTTTAAACTTATAATAGGAAATATATTTGTACTATCGAAATCAAAATAAACTTCACTTGTGATTTGTGATTATGTAATCGAAACTTGTAAGTAGAAAGAAAACATTAATCAACTCTTGATTAATTCCGTAATAAAATGAAAATAATGCAAAGCCCTTGCAAATCTATCTCAAAGGTTTTTTTCCCTTTGAGTGAAGACAATATCCTCTGATTTACTCTGCATTTGAGTTTTTTCCCTTTGAGTGAAGACAATATCCTCTGACTTACTCTGCATTTGAGTTTTTTTCCCTTTGAGTGAAGACAATATCCTCTGACTTACTCTGCAATTGAAAAAAAAAAACTTATTCAAATATATTTGTGAAAATTGTAAACCAATTTATATGATAATGTTGAAGTTATTATATCTCCTTAATAGAAGTACAAGACGGATGATCTGTTCTTAATCACAGAGCTACACAATGGGCTATCTGAGCTCTGCCCACCGCGTATCGTAACGCGATTCTTGGTGTTGTAAGACCTCAGACAAATGAGCAGAATTTAAGTGTTTATTTGTATATTGAATGACTACATCTGCTATAGTTATTCATTAAGCTCATAATTCCGACTTCTAATGACAAACGTAGGGACTGTCAATTTTCTAAGAGTTTGACAACACGTTAAGTAACATTGTGGCAAATATCCACTATGTTTCCAGAAAATGTACAACCTGGTACGCAGGAGTTAAACTTCTAGACACTGCTGTAAATCTCAATTATTTGCATCTAGTTAATGAGGTATGGTAGTCACCTAGAAAAATATGAGTATGTACTGCGATACCTTCGTAGTACACAAGAGTTCGTGACAATACCTTACTTTTACGCATTTATTCCACCTAAATTTTTCATAACAGTCAGACATGCAAGATTACGTAGAGGACACAGTTAAGGATGGCAACACCTAGTGAAATCGCTTGTAATGACAAGTTCCATAACAATAGCACAGCCTCTAGAACTGTAATTATCTCTGTAATTGACGAACCTGTGACAATAGTACTACATCTTTTGTACTTTATTTATCAACTAAAATATTCTGATTAATTATACCATTCAAACTTTAAGCTGATGATGTAGTTTAAAACTTTCAATTGACCGTAAGAAAATCTGTGATTTAAAGTTTTGTAAAGTTAAAGATTTCAGACCTAAAAACAAATTCAAAGCACCGTCATCACAACCTTTTTAAATCGTATTTCCCTGAAATAATGAAACATTTCAGATTGTATAGTCACATCCATCAATGTAAATTATGTAGAGCATAATAAGTGATTTTATCATAAATATTAAGTCGTTAACAATATAATTAATCTAAGAAGTTTTCTATAACGTGATAAAGTTTTGGAATGGAGAATAGCAATTAGCAATTGTCTTTTAACTTCAATTACATTCTATAAAAAGTTCTAACTAATTCAGTTTCTTTTGTAATGTGGGTAATTGTATATACTGATAACATATGGGATAAAGCTTTTAATATTCATTCTTTATAAGCTGTTTATTAATCTAATATTCCGTTTACCAACGGCATGAATATGTCATATAACTAGTAATTAGGACTTTACTTCTGTAGCTTAAATTTCTACGTATAAAAACGAAGAAACAGATTTCTTTCGTTTTATCTAAGAGTTATCTTAAAAGCTGTGTTTCTTGCGTTTGATACGTAAGAAATATCTACCTTTGTCGGCCCTGTAAAGTTACCAATGCTTCCTCAGGACATCCTCTCTCGGGATTCTCTGCATACCAGTTCCCTGTTTTTGACCTTAATGGACGTGCCACTGAAGAAAATTAATTTACTTGCCCAAAAGATCTTTCTGCTTATCTTCAGAACATGTTTTGTTAATTAATAGAAAAGTAGTTGAGATTTGCGCGGTCAATATATAGAAAACCTCTTTAATTTTTAATTGCAAATCGTTTTCGAAATTTTTAATTATTTTTCATTAAATTAAATTAAGTAGCTTTAGGGTTGTACTTAGTTATTGAATATTTAACTACAGTAGAATTTACAAGCTTTCGTAATTATTTCATGTAAGCATTATTAGATTTACTAAATCCATCGAATAGAGACTGTGTATAGCTTCCCCGTTTTCTAGTGTTTTAATTGAAAATAATATGAAAATACTAGGAAAAGAGACAACACTTTATCATGCCGATTCTACCTTGTAATGAACTAAAGTCTGAATATTTTATAAGTACTATGTTACAGTTCATGGTGAATGATGTCAAATTCTTTCGTTCCCATTAGATTATCCATATTGTTCTGGGGAAAAAAGTTCTGTAATTAATTTACCTTTACTTCACGTAAGACCTGAACATCAGAACATTTTAGACAATTTTCAGACTTTTTTGGTGCTTCTATTGAATAAGTTCATCTCCAGTATAAGAATTATAGTATGTATTTAATTATTGAAATTTCGCTATGTTCAAAATGCTTTCTCTGAGCTCAGTTTTGTAGAATATCTATTAATTATTTTATCTTCTACAATAGATTTACTTTTACTTTGTTGGGGTGTTAGGTTATATAGCATTGAGAGGACTTAATGTATATTACATAAGGAATGAGGGGCTCTCGAAGTTTTTGTAAAAGAAATTACTGTTTCCTACATAAGGTGTTATAATGATTGTTTCTGGAGTAGGCTGTTATTCTCAGAACGCATAACGAAAAGTGATTCCGATTGTTCAAGTTAATACGATGTCTCTGCGTAGCATAACTTATTTTTCATTATTCAAACTAAAACGATGTTACTTTTTAGAACAAACTGCTTTTTATTATTCAAAATAAGACGATGTTAGTCTTTAGAATATAGTGCTGTAACATAAGTAAGTGCTATCTCTTCCTAAGGTTTAGTGATGTTTGTTTTTGAGTCAACTGATGTTTTTTGTAGCTTCAATTTTACTGGAATATACAGTATTGGTTAGAATGTTCAATATATCAGTTTTATTATTATATTTTTCATTATAATGATAATTTTGCATTGTTGACTTAGTATAGAGATTTAGCCCTGACCTAACTTTCATAAGCTTGCTCCTGAGATTTTATTGGGATCACGAATGAAAATATCGCTAACGACGAAGTTACCCAACTGTTGAGAAATGCATTCTAATCTTTGTAAGTAAGAACAGTATTCATTTATTTATTAGCTATACTAATTACCGGGCTTATATTTAATTCCGATCTAGGTAGGTAATTTGCTATGATCAGAAATTAATACTAATTTGATATTGGATTAAATGCTATGTTAATAAGAGCTAATGTTATATTTTCATTTATGACTTTCTTTATCACCGCCATCATGTACATATTTTTCATCCCGTGTAACGTAGAGTACTTTTCTTAATTACATTCAATTTGTATGTAGAAATGATTTTCATTCATAGTATCATTCATGTTTCAAATATAATATTTTCCAAATAATGTCAAATAATGGTCGTGATATTTGCATTAAGAGAAAAACATATAGGATAGGATTGACAACATTATCAACACGCAGTTTAATATGGTGTTCATCAATTGAAATGAAAATGGTGTTTCTTTCTTGTTTGTCAAATTATTTGGGATAAAGTGGCATCTCTTCTTGCATGTGAAATATATTTATCAGTTTCTTAGCTGGGACCAATGGTTCGTGGCAGAATTATGAATTTTAGAATCCGTGGTTCGTGTTCCGTTACTTTCAAAACATTGTGTTATAAGAGTTGCGGTCAAATCTTACTATTCAGTCTGACAGGAGTAGCCCAAGAGATATAAGTTTGTATGAAGCCCACTAGCCGCCTTCTCTCTAGTTTATCACTTCGAAAATATTTATCACTTGATATAAAGTTGCCTTTCTTTGTGATGAGTGAAGGGTATTTATCCGTCGAAATGAAATAGAATATTGTTTCTTCCTGATGTTATTTATCATTTTGGATAAAGTAGCATTTCATTCTGAAAAGGCTATAGCCTTTTAAGATCAGAAAGAATGCCATGTAATACCAATAGATAAATACTACTTACGTAATAGGAAGAAACGTTATCTTATCACAACAGATAAATTTATCTGTTGTGATAAGATAACGTTTCTTCCTATTACGTAAGTAGTATTTATCTATTGGTATTACATGGCATTCTTTCTGATCTTAAAAGGCTATTTAACAAGTAGAATATTTTCAATAAAGTAAATGATGATTCGTCGAGATGTGTATCGGCGTCTCTATTTGTTTGGTTAAAATAATGCTTTTTTTATGTTATATAAATTGTGTTTATCATATTGAATAAATAAAAACGGTATTTTTCTTGGCGTGTAAAAGTTGTTCGTCAGATGTGTAAATGCCATGTTAACCAATTTGAATACTTAGCTTATAAAGACTTTTTTTATCGATTGGTACATTTCCTACGAAGTCATTTCAGTTTATGGAGTCAAGAGTTTTCATCAATCGGAGGAAACATTTTCCCGACATATAAGGGATATTTGTTAGCTGTTTGTCACTCGCGACGAAACATTATCCTGATGTATAAAGCGTACATGTCATCTGTTTATCACTCGCAACGAAACCTCTTCCCCAGGTATAAAGGATACTTGTCAACTATTTATCACTCGCGACGAAACATTTTCCTTACGTATAAGTGATACTTATCAGGTGTTTGTCACTCGCGACGAAACATTTTCTTGAAATGTAAAATGACCTTATTAATATATTTAGTTTTGGTGTGTGTTCGTTCCTGGTTGATAAAGGCATTTATCTGTTGAAATGAGATTTTGTTTTATAAAGTACAAAGTATTTTTATAAGTTTGTCGTTAGTCCTTAGATTACAAAGGATATACGTCAGTTGAGTTGAATTTTTTTTTCCTGAACTGTATAAGTTTAAAGTTTGTCAGTTAAGCATTACGTTTATCGTTGGGATGAAGAGATGTTCCTCTCTCACATATAAAGTGTAATTATAAGCTGGGGTTATAATGTTGAAGTTCTTGGAATACAGAATGTGTTTATCAGTTAAGCTGAAATGTTTTAAGCTTCTCGAGTATTAACTGTTGATTGTTGGGGTGAAGAGATGTTTAACTTTATTTAGGGTGAACAAAAGTAATAGTTAGAAATTAAACTATATTCTAAATGAAACAAATGTATAGTCAATTTTGCCTTATCCTATGTATAAATTTTCCTTTTCATTAAATCATAATTTGTAGGAGAGGTGAAAGGATGCTCCTCTACCAGTTATGTAGTATACTTAATGTGAAAAGTTTTAGCAGTTGGGATAAGGTATTATTTTAACAGGTGTGACTATTGTTATTATTATTTTTAAACTGAAGTGTAAAGGCTATTGATAAGTTTGGTTTAGATGTTGTTTGTTTGGTTTGTTTTGAATTTCGCACAAAGCTACACGAGGGCTATTTGCTCTAGCTATCCCTAATTTAGCAGTGTAAGACTAAAGGGAAGGCAGCTAGTCATCACCACCCACCGCCAACGCTTAGGCTACTATTTTACCAAGGAATAGTTGGATTGACCGTCACATTATAACGCCTCCACGGCTGAAAGGGCGAGCATGTTTGGTGTGACGGGGATTCGAACCCGCGACCCTCAGATTGCGAGTCGAGCGCCCTAACCACCTGGCCGTGCCGGGCCAGATGTTGTTTGTTCCTAGAGTATGGAGAGAGTTAAGTACGTTATATTAAAATAAGTTTAGATATGAAATCAGCAAGTCAACTGACAAATAAAACCGATAAAAGTATCAGTGAGACGGAGGGAATCACAACTACATTTTTTACATTGTTTTGCGTTTTGTAAGTTTTGATACCCTCGAAAATTGAGCGCTGTTGGGAAGCGTATGTAACAGCCCTTTCCAACGCAGTGTATTCATAGACACAGATCATAAAGGTAAATTTAAATCAGGGCTTTAGAGTTTTCAAATCGATGATACCTCTTGCACTTAATGGCGTTGGAAGACAAAGGAGTATGGATCAGGTTGGATCGCCTGGACCATCCAGATAGAGTGCTGCAATAAGTCGTACCCAAGTCGTGGTAAGCAAAGTGTATTATCTTGTAACATATTAGAACGCACGGACACTAAGATCAGTGGCAAAAGTCGTCCGTGTCTCGGGCAACATAATAAAGAAAGATCTCCATCTGAAAAAGCGACACAAGTTGCTTCGACAACAGATCCATTCATCCATCACATACCTTAAACAGCTGGGAAATGAACAGTAGTCATGCTATTCTACGCGAAGACGTGTTGGTCAAAGCCGCTGGACATAACGCCCATGGATTTCTGTGTGATCAGGCTGTTGAAGCGGGCGCTGGGAAATTGTCGTCCTCGTAAACTAGACGGATTATGGAAACCAAGCAGAGAGGAATGGTGTGTTTTGGGCATGATAGCTTTATGACGGAGCCTTTTGTAATGGAATCTACGCTGCAGGGATCTTATCAAGATTCGCTGTTGTTAGATAGAGAATGACTGGACCTGGCGACATGGACTGTAACGATGTTATGAGGCTTCAAAATCGTTGTAATATAACGTACTCAATATCTGTAAAACGTATACATCAGATCGGATGATAATATACTCAAAGGTGTTCAGGAGTTTGGATAAAAGTAAACTGTTCTTGATTATTAATTGTAATAACATCGTAGACTAAATAGACATTTTCTTATAAGCTCCTTGTGCTCCATGAAGTCTTCAGTGATTTTGAGAATATGAACGGTAACTATTGGTGCAGGCAACTATTGGTAACTATTGGTGCAGGCAACTATTGGTAACTATTGGTGCAGGCAACTATTGGTAACTATTGGTGCAGGCAACTATTGGTAACTATTGGTGCAGGCAACTATTGGTGCAGGCTAGCACCTTACTTATTCAAGCAGAGGATACCCGTTAGGAAGTATAAATAGTATATAGGGCAATATTAAATGGTGTCCCCTTTCACTCTGCTTTGTGAAAAGTAATAATTGACTCATTTAACCGATTAAGTACTTGTGTCTGTAAAATCAAACCCAAAATTAATGCGTTCTATTTTAGGATGTTTATATCCCTTTCTTGGGAAAAATCCTAAAACAAAATAGCTCTTGTACACAGTCGGACAGTGTCCAGTCACCATTGCGTTAATCGAGCTTGCCAACTCTGGGTGATGGATGTTAACACGCACAAGATACAAACGTAATGAATCATCTTTTTAGAAAAATTGAACAAATTAGGAAACTGAAAGGGTGTTATAAAAACGTCACCACATCAACTAGTATATACATTTGATTTAGAAGATAAATGCAGTTGGAGCAGACTGCTGTAAATTAGCTCACAGCAAGTAACAAGTAAAACATTCAAGGGTTAGTGTATTGCGGTGGAAACCAGGCCTTTTTTCTTTATTTTTGTGACGAAAATAGGGTCAATGTCTGTTTAGGACTCACGCCAATTCCTAAAAGCAAATTCCCTCAAATATGGTTTATAATTTTTTTACCTTGATATCTATACCACAAAGTACCGATTTATAATAGGACCTTCTCTCTCTTTCTCTCTACACACATAAGGTTAGTTACTGTACCTAGACCTCATTCATATTCTTATACATCAAACTTAGAAACACAGTTCAGGTATATACATAATTACATATTCATTACGGTAACTTTAAAAATAAAGACATTCAATACATTTGACTTGTAAATTTAGTTAAGATCATTTTATCTCATTATTTGATTAGAATTAAAATAATTTAGCCCAGCAGTTCTGTCTTTAATTGTGCTGAAAACATTTACTAATCTCGGGAAAATAACAGGTTTGGAAAACATGATGTTAGTGATAATAATAACACCAATTGTTGATGTGTTCATAAGATGTACGAATGATACGAGTATAGATGCCATCGAAAACGAAAAAATAACTTATTCAGCCATGTTTCGGTAAAAAATAAGAATATTTTTTAGGTATGGAGAAATAGTTTTTTTTTACTTTGAACATTTTTGACGTCATATATATGTATATAATTATCTGATATATTTTCATTTCATTTTCTTAGTACTAAATGTCAAAGAATAGAAGTTGCTATTTTATTCGTGGCTTTTGAAATTTTTGAGAAACTGTTCCTAGAACAATGTTAGAAAATGTGGCTGTATATGAACACGTGAGCACGTGCGATTCTAATCATAATATATAGCTTCAGTTTGCATGCTTGAGACGATGAACAATGAGCCAGAAAGTCCTGATGGGGGCCCGTCCGCAAATGGCATAATCAAAAATAAAATTCATAAACCATCAATATGATCTTACTTCTTATAGAAATTGGTAACCAACCAGTCTTTGTTCTTTGCCAATATACTTCAGGTTGTCTCGAGTCTTTGTAGTTAAATCGCCCAACTCTGTTGGCTTCTGATCATTATGGTAGAATTCTTGAGATCGAGTTATATTTCTAGGAACTAATCTTTTAAACTAGCAAGCCACAATTTTATTTGCACGTAAGAGACTTCTGAATTTACCGCCTCGATATTTTAATACTTCCTTGTTCATTGGGTTTCTCTATTCCAGGAACATGGCGGCATGATGGACCATGACGATGATGCAGACGTAGCAATTAATTTATCAACCAATCAGCCTATTAGATCGTCCTTGACCACACCCACTTGGAACTCTGAAAACGATAATAATGATTGTCTGGTGAGAAAAGTTTTTATGTGAAAAACATTTCGCATTATTTATTCTTTACTTTGTGATAGAAACTTGCATTACATAGTTTTCTTTTCTTGAAATGCTATCATATTATAAACTAACTTTTAAATCATTACAATTTAACAAGTTTTAAACTTTTCGTCCCCCGGTGGCTCAGCAGAAAGTTCGAAAGCTTATAGCACACGCACACAAAAGGGTTCTGATACGAATGGTAGTCAGAGGACAGATAGCTCATTGCGCAGCATTGCACTTAACAACAGACAAACAGACTTTCTTAAACTTTTCGTCTCTCGGTGGCTCAGCGGTAAATATGAAGGACTTTTAACGCCAATAAAACAATATAATAGATTAAATTCTAATATCCATGGTGGGCAGAGCACAGATAGCCCATTGTGTAGTTTTTTGTTCAACAAACAAACTTTATTAAACTTTCCGAAAATAATTGAATTTAATTCTTATTGCACCAATTAAACAAACATAAAGTATAGAAATATCACAATTTGTAAAATTAATGTGCTCAACTATCAATAATAACCAATTTTCAAAACACATCCATACATGTTTTACTTAACAACGAAAAACTTAAATAATGAACATATTAAATTTCTAACCTACTGAAAACTTTAAAAGCTCCACCTACAAACTATTTTCCAAAAACCTCTTCGTTGTATTTATATATTTTTTGTACGCATTAACTAACTTTGTGAATTCTAAAGGAAATGAGCTTGTGAAACAAATGGCAATCAAAACCTTTTGTTTATAGCTATTTTTATTTTATCTTATTTTCTCGTTCGAATTCATGGAGCAAATGAAGTTCGTCACATAATTATTTCACTCTAACTAGTACGATTACATTCAATACACGACTATTGTGAAAAATGTTTTACTTTTAGTTTAGATGAAAGTTTCTATAAGATAATTGTAGTTCGATTTTTATTTGTGGATAAAATTTGTGGGATTTTCAAATTGTTCCATCACTCAAAAATTATGTTTATACATTCAGTGATAATCCACCGTTATACAAACTTGTTTTTCTACAAAAAATGTAAGGAAAAGGCTTAAAAAACACTTTATTTTCACTTACTTCTTCTTATGTAAACACTGTAGAAACTGGTAAATTATGAATAACTTTTTATAACAACGGAAATTCCTCAGTATAAGTGCAAATATTTTATCTAGTTGAATTAATTGATGAAACGGTTGAATGGACGGCAACTGCTGGTTGTAGAAACACAAGTGTAGAGGTCAGACAGTTGCCGTCCATTCAATAAAGTTTCATCATGAATACTCTGCCGAAACAATCAATCAAAGAATACTTATTAATATATTTATATTCATACAATTTTTTAATTATTATCACGTGTTTACAGTTAGAACTTTCAATATGCTTTGTTATACTGTCTAAATTAAAATGCCTGAATAACGGAACCCGTGAAATGATGGGTTTGTGAATTGTAAGAAACAATAGAGATAACCCCAACCAAAATATATCTCGTCTGTAGAAATCAACAAGTAAAAAAAACGCTTTGAAAAAAAGAGTCAAATTTGGATTTAACTTCTCTCTTTAGCATAAATGACATGGACAAAATAATAAGAAACAAACTATCCTTTACTTTCGCAGTATTGAGATTTGTATGTTGCAACCCTCTTTTGTATTAAGCGAGGCCTGGCATAGCCAAGTGGTTAGGGCGCTCGACTCGCAATCTGAGGGTCGCAGGTTCAAATCCCCGTCACATCAAACAT